TGGCATAGACGACCATTCTTCGAGCCCTTTCTCAGCATGATCACAAATCTCCGGAATCTGCTTTTCATAATCACTCAAATAACTAAAGTCACATATCTTATCCTGCGCATGTTTGTGTGAATACACGGGATACAAATTTGAAGTTACAATTTCTTCGCCATTGATAATCAATGGAATGGTTGATAAATCCATCAATATAATCTTATTGTTATTCTGTACTTTAATTGAATAATTAACCGTACACTGAATTTTCATTCATTCTCAATTATTGCATTTATATGTAATCCGGTATCATGACCCGAACATTAGCTACCAGTGTTACAGGTCAACATACATTAAGTTACAGTTGTCAAAAATATAAATGATGACTAATATTTAGTAATTGTTATTCAATATGAATAAACTTTATGTAATATAAGTAGTATACTATAAAAGATCCAAATTGCTTAATTCGGCCGAGCAGCATTCGCAGTATTGTTCAACGGAATTAATCCCCGACGCCATTTCATTGTAAGTTTTCTCATCAGCATCAGCTTTAATATTCTTAAATAAACTATTATTAATGTAATCACATTTCTGTAACTCGCTCATAAGCCAGTTTCGCCATTCAGCTTTTGCAATTTCTGCCTCCATTTGATTTAACATTCTTAACTTGACTAATAAATCGTGTCTTTTTACACCTATTTCCTGAAAAGTTTTCTTCAAACCTTTTGCAACTTCCCTAGTGGATTCATCCGCGTAGTCTTCTTTCCAGGCGGTGGGTTCTTTGTAGTTCAAGACAAACGACGTGTTTTTGAATGTATCAAAGCATTGTGACGAAGTGGAATTTGCATGAAGCTCGGAAGTGTGAATCGTTTCGAGCAAATCAAAAGTATCATGGAGGTAAATTGCACGCTGTAACATCATGGGTTTAGAATGCAAATGCTCATTGGCCAACTTGTTAGCACTGCGGACTATCCAGTACGAGTGGGATGTTTTTCCAACCAAGAAAAAATTGAATAAGGTAGAAAGTAGTAATATAAATACTAGGGCATAATTCATGCGAATACCTCTAGCAAACGTGATGACTGAGTTTACAACAAAGTGGAAAAGGCCAGATACTATGACCAAGTTGAAGAATAGGAATTTTCTGATGAGAATGCTTAAAACGCCCAATACTCGAATTTTGATGACGGGAATCGGCTCGACTTCATCAACATATTGTTCAGATTGGGTTAATTTACCATAAAGGTATATAGATTTAGCAATCATGCCATGTCTACCCACTTTTTTGACGACGTTCTTTAAATCTATGTCTAGAGTTCTAGCCTGATTGATACAGAGCCTGTAGCATACAGCTTGGATCATTTTAGATAGCACCAGACACTTATCACATTCGGTATGTGCGTACACGAAGAATTTACTTTGTGTGTACGTGAGTCTGGTTATAATGAATCTGTAGTTGATGCTGAATCTGCAACCAAGAAATTTGTAACTCGATTTTGCATGAGTGAAATTATAATATTCATCATCTAACATACTTTCTATGTTTTGGTTGAATTGAAGTTCACCTCTACTCCTTCCTTCATAAATTGTTGGAGAATTGAATTTACGATGCAATTTACCGTTCGGCTTTTTGCCCCAAGGCATCTTAATGATAGATCCGAAACTGGTGAAGGCATTTTTGCCATCTAACATGATAGAATTATCACCTAGTAATGCATGGAATATTGCCTTTGGTGGTAAATTATAAGTTCCTTCAAGAATCGAATATGACTCGTCTCTATAATTAATCTTAAGTTGCAGTGGGCGATTGCCAATATTACTCGCAATAACTGACGGAATGATATCTGGCTCCGCTTTATTATCTGATACCTTTTTCCGTGCATCAGTCATTGCTTTATAGTATTGAGCATCAATCCCAACTAGCTCAGTAACAAGCTCATTGTTGAACTTCGGCTTGTCACTTATTCTATTGTTTACAATGTGCATTATTTTTTGTTTGATCAAGTTACCGTCGTCCAAAAACAACTTCATCGTAATAACACCTCTAATATTATACATTTTGAGTATGTCATTGTGTTTCCGGTGGGAGCACTCAACAGAAACTAAAGACGCTATATGCCTTTTAAACAATGAAATAAATCCGCTTTCTTGGATATAAAAATAAACATGATTTTTAGTGATAAAGCACCTTCCACTTAAATCTTGTTTGGAATTTGGTGAGCAAATACATCTAAATGATACCAAGCAGATTTCTCCGGGTTCTACTGCTACCTCAAAAAGAGCTCTCATTTGTATATCCAACAGTACTAAATCGTCAGGATAGTCGTGTGGATAATGAATACCAGATTCAAACCTATCGGCATCCGATTCCAACCCAATATCCCTCTGCTTATCGATTTCTTCAAAATTTGAATCTGAATAATTATTTAAATAGTACAATCCCCAATTAACTGATCCCCAGATATTAGCCGTAAGCGCTGTTGGTAAAGATGTTGCCTCTGCAATACTATATCCGATAATTGACGACCTAGTAGTGTCAGTAATAAATGGAGGTCTGATTTGAGGAATTTGATAATAAATATGATTTCTAAAGAATATTTCGTTTTTTTCAATGTGGCTTGACAACTTACTTGAAGTGATGATTTGACCTACTGAATTAATAATTTTAGTATTTGTCAATTCTCGATCCATCGACGTATTCGCAGTTGACGCAAATTCCACTAAAATTGGTGGATATCTCCCGGATGCAATATTGAGTACCCCTGTATCTTGAGAACTAGAAACTCTTGACCTCTCATTCTCGAAAACCCTTAACCATGACTTTAATTCTTTTAACGTTTCGGCTTGAAAAACAATCGTTAAATCAACGGTCTTTATTTCAAAACAAAACCTCCTGTCTTCATTTGGTGAATATTGAATTTTACATAGAAGAATACCAATTTTATCTGATTCCTGAACAAATTTTTTTGATGGACTCAACATTAGCAATCCAAAAACACCATTTTTAATAAATCCCCATCTCCTAACCCAAATAGGTTTGCCAGATTTTTCGACATAAGTCTTCATAAAAAGATATCCATGTTTCTCGCACGCCATTTCTTCACCGTCTAATAGAGATTTGGCATTAATTAAAGAAACGTTATAGTCATCTGCATTCGTAGAGGGTTGGTATTGGTTTGACGAACTTTGTTCGACCTGGTATCTCGCTTGGTGCAAATCCTTATTTATCTTACCAATTGCAGATGCATAACAGTCACTCCAATTTTGTATTTTCAGAATTTTCTCCCATTCTTCTTTGTACGCTGTATCAACCCAATTTGAAAATAGCTCTTTCTTATTTTTCCAAAAGTCTGTACTAAACCTGACTAATAATTTATCCAAAATATTTCCTAATTTTGTTAATTGGATCACCACTTCAAGACTCTCATGTATATAATCTCTTTTAACCTGGAACAATTGAGCCACATCCTCCATTACTATAGTCGGATTTTTAGTTTTCGACGATGCAAGATATATTTCCAAGTATTTATCGTATTTATTTTGAGCCATCTCAAAACGAGAACGCACTTCTCTGAAGTTATTAATATCCTTGTTGACCCGGGCATATAATCTATCGATTGCATATGAGTTTACATGCATCGCTGCAAGACTCGTATCCCAAAGTCTTTTCAATCCATCCCCGGTTGTAGTTAACGATTGAACGGTGTATTCCTGATCTATTAGGCCATCTTGGATAAATGGAGGAACTAGGTGCTCTAAGAATGAATTCGAAAATGACTGCAACTCTTCCAAGTATTTCGGAAACTTCTTAACAGAACTAGATAATGCAATAATCCATTTCTCAATATTATCAATTTGATCATCTATATGATTGATTGATGCTCGGAAACTAGGGGAGTCTAATGCAGCTTCCTTAAAGGTGACAGAAATCAACTTTATCTGTCGCAAATCGTCTGCCGAAGTCATATGTCATGAAGTCCATTCATTGACTATATGGCAACTGAATAATTATATTGAGCTAATAGTAGGAAATTTCGGTATAAACACGAACTATATTTTGCAAGCATTTTTAATATCTACATAGACTAACCAGACAGAAGATCGTGATGACTGAAAAGGTCTACATATATATACGAAACTTTAATCCTCCTAGTAAGCATGACAATACATTTTTTGTCTTTTTTATCGATGTCTTTCATTGTCTTTCGGGCAATAGTAATTAGATTATGTTAATATAGCTCCAAAGGCCTAAAGTAAAGAACTTTTTTCGGCATATCTTATATATAAAGGAAAAATTGGTACCACACGGAAGCATAGAACTGTAGTTAATGCTAAATTGGATATTCATAAATTTACAGGTTTGTCGAAAACCTGGTTCATTGGGTAGCAACCTCTCAGCAATCTCAAAGATATCTCTGATTTCCCAGCGAGATTTTCAAAACTGATTGAACAAGTAGTTGTGTGTCTAAATAAGACTTGGCAATTGACAATTAAAACATGAAGTCTGCTGTAACGGGAAGTCTAAGATATAGAAATGGCCTCGAACATTGACCTTATGATATATTGTGTTAAAATTCGTAAAAAACTCAATAAAGCGTAAAGAATCCAAAAAATCCAAAAAATTCTAATATAAACTAAATATTCTTAATAATTACAGTAATTCCAACACGTTGAATACTTCCATACCTTTTAAAGCATTGAAGCTTCCTATATAAAAATTGAGAAGCGCTTTAAACTACATATAGTATGAACAAACGGCTTACGTTCACATTTGTGCAGCCTTGCGTTCAATTGACATGAGTTTCTATTTATATCTTTATTGTCATTTAACTGAGTCAAGAGTCACAATTCGTTCCCCTCTAAACGTTTCAGCAACTCACTGGTGTCCGTTTCCCTAACTTGAATTTGTCCTATACGTGATAGTGTGTTCTCTATTGTACTGCATTGTTTGGCATTTCGCAGTAAAAAAAAAAAAAAAGCGACATAAACGGCAAAATCTAATATGCCGTTAGCCATCAAAGCATCGGCATTTTTGTAAAAGCTTTTGCCCAAATATGACCCATTTCTACAAGATTAGATTCCCCTAATGGAAGGTGATAACTTATCATTTTAAAACTTATATAGACTTATTTTGCAGTACTTGTAGCAGATTTGAGATAATTTGCAACTATGAAAGACGCAACTGATTATTCGTCTTCAAGCATACAGGTATATTCTAAAAGTTCAAATGGGCATTCAAAAATTGGAAATTTTATAGATTCGTTCAAGAGGGCAGATCAAACAGAGACAACGAGCGACTTAGAAAATGGTAAAGAACAGATTAATTCGCCGTTAGAGCAGAACTTGAAGGATAGGCATATTCAGATGATCGCCATCGCTGGGTGCGTTGGACTGGGCCTCTTCATATCTCAGGGATCAGCATTGGCTACATCTGGGCCTGGTGGGCTAGTAATATCATATTCAATTATTGGACTATTGCTATACTTTATAGTACAATCTTTAGGACAGTTGACCAGTGCATTCCCAGTTCAAGGTAACTTTTTAGTATACAATGTAAGATTCATCGATGAGTCTTGGGGATTTGCAATGAACTGGAATTATTGCTTTCAGTGGTTAGTCACATTGCCATTATCGTTAGTTTCCGCTTCTTTAACTATTCAATTCTGGGGTTCGTCTATTAACCCGGTTGTTTGGGTAGCTGTCTTTTATGTCATTATCGTCGCTATCAACATCTTTGGTGTAAAGGGATATGGGGAAGCAGAGTTTATATTTTCTTTGATCAAAGTTGTTGCCATAGTCGGGTTTTGTATCCTAGCTGTAATAGTGGTCGCTGGAGGTGGTCAACAGGGCTATATTGGTGGAAAGTTTTGGCATAACCCAGGGACTTTCTCTCACGGATTCAAAGGAGTATGTTCCGTGTTCGTCAACGCAGCATTTTCTTTTGCCGGTACCGAGCTATGTGCTTTAGCAGCAGCAGAATCAAAAAACCCTAGGAGAGCATTAACAAAGGCTATCAAGCAAGTATTCTGGAGAATTATAATTTTCTATATGCTCTCTACTATTATGATTTGCTTTTTAGTTCCATACAATGACCCTAAATTATTGAGCAACTCATCGACTTCTGCATCTCCATTCGTTGTTGCTATCCAAAACAGTGGCATCAAGGTTTTACCTTCAATCTTCAATGTCGTTATCTTAATCGCTGTCTTATCAGTAGCCAATGCCTCCGTATTTGCCTCTTATAGACCACTTGTCTCCTTGGCGCATGCAGGGCATGGTCCTAAGATTTTGGCGTATGTGGACAGAAATGGAAGACCTCTCGTGGCATTACTAATAACGTTAGCCATTGGATTACTTGGGTTTGTATCGGCATCTCCTAAACAAGAGACCGTTTTCAACTGGTTACTTGCATTATCTGGATTATCTACTATCTTTACTTGGTTTTCCATATCCTTATCTCATATTCGTGTGACATATGCCTTTAAAGTTCAAGGAGTATCTTTAAATCAATTCCCATTTCGTGCAACTGGTAATACATTGGGTGCATACTTCTCGTTAATTATCAACGTATTGGTACTTATCGCTCAATTTTATGTTGGATTATACCCAGTCAACGGCAAGGAAAAGGATATAGCTACCTTCTTACAAGTATATCTTGCTGCTCCTGTGGTTCTTGTATTCTATCTCGGCCACAAGATTTGGACTAGAAACTGGAAACTATATGTGAGGGCAGAAGATATGGATATCACGACAGATCGTCAATTGGTTGATATCGACATGTATAATCAATTAATTGCCGAAGAGAAGCTGTTATGGAATTCTAGGCCGTGGTATTATAGACTCTTTCATACTTGGTGTTAAGTAGATTGAATGTACATTAGAATATATTCGTAGACGAGCAACTACATGTACAACCACGAGAATCAGGGTCTTGAATTATGAGGACATAAAATTTCCACTTTATTATTAGAAGCATCACCACATACATCATGAGTATATGAGGCATCAATACCCCTTCTTCGTTGGTAGAAGCAATTGAAAGAATTAGTAATTTACTCTTTATTGAAGGCATAAAATTCCAGTCCTTATATCCAAATAATGGACAGGCTATCGAAAATCTGGAGCAAATGCAATTAAGCTATTAACTTTTGAATGTATCGACATGCCCATTATAGGATAATTCCACCTTGTGATATAGATACAAGGCCATTCTTGTCCATTATTCCAGATAGAATTTATTGCTAAACAACACATTCAGTGTTAATAAGCATTTACTGTAATTAATGTTTTCCAGTGCAAGTATGTATATTGTTTACAATTCTATTTAAAGAACGCATATACAGTTAGTTATAACTGCCTTGAAATAGTCTTTCAATTCACTAAAGTTCAAAGATGACTGATCTTTACACAGATATTCATATAAAATCAATACACAAGAGAATTAAGATCTATCATTGAAATATTGAATAATATCGAAGAAACTTTTCTTATAGTACCTTTCTTGTGTTGTTCTATTCACCACTTGAAGTCCAAATTGTTGATCGTAATCACCAAATTCCCAATTATCTGCAAAAGACCATGCTAGCGCTCCTATGACAGGAATTTGATCATAATGAATTGCATGTAAGATTTCTTGCATAAATGACCGGTAATAGATAGATCTATTTAAATCATATAATTGATCGCCAAGTTCCTTCTCACCTTCTCTCCATTCGGGGAATCCAAACTCAGCAACAAATGGAGGACAATGGAAAGTATTCCAAATGTAATTCAAGAGTTCACGTAATTGAATCGGCGTAATATAGACGTAAGACTGTGATCTATAGCCAATTTTCCAACCATCCTCACGCATTTGCGATTCTTTTACACATAGTGGCCAAAATTCATGGGAAGGATCACTCTGACAAGCTTCAATGCCACCTGGAGGAGAAGTGACCACAGTATAGGTGTAAGCGTCGATACCAAAAAAGTCGGAACTGCCGGCTGCTTCTTCTATTTCTTCAGCAGTAAGTAGATATTCTGTCTCTTTGACAAAAGTTTTCTTCCACGAGGATGGGTAATCTTTCCCCAAAAATAAAGGATTGCCGAAAGACCCTAAATAAAAATCCTGATACCTAGAAGCTGCTGCAACATCTTCCTTGTCTTCGGGGTTTGATGGTCTCCAAAATTATTATTTAGTTTTATACCGAATTTTCCAGTAGCATTTAGTTCCTTGTGATAAAACTTGTGAAGCTTTGATGTCGCTTGGATTACATGCTTTACACCTAATGCATTACCCGAATATAAATATGGTTCATTAAAACCAACCCATACCGGTATTCTATCTGAGTAATGTGCTAATACAATTTTCCCGTAATTAACGAAGGCATCAACGAAAGCATCATTTTTATAACCACCATAATAGTAAAAAGAACTACTGTCATTTACCGGTGTACCTTCATTAAACATCAATGGTGTGTCAAAATGTGTCAAAGTGGCAATAGGGACTATTCCGTATTCAAGGCAAGTATTAATCAAATCATCATAATGATCAATTCCCTGTTGATTCACCGGAGTACCTGGTAGGGCGAAAGGTAAAATCCGTGACCAAGGAATAGTAAATGAATAGTGCTTTACACCAATTGCAGCCAATCTTGCAATATCCTGTTTATAAAGATAGTAATTTTCATTAGTTATGTAATCCTTAGGCCTTGAGTCTAAGACTAATTTTTCTTGGATGGTTGGTGAGCGACCTTCCTCTGCAATTGCACCTTCAATCTGGGAAGCTGAGCCGGCCACACCGAAGATGAAGTCGCTTGGATAGGTCAAGTTAGATTCAAATTTAAAAGCATCAGACGGAGGTAAAATTAACGATTCAGTTGGCACCGATGTTGGTTCCACGGTGGTGCTATATAAAGCAGAATTTGTGAAATTTTGGATATTCGCATCTTTCCACATTTGTGACCATGCATATTGACCATATGGATCATCCAGATCAGTAGCCACTCCAGTAGCTGATGGGTTCCAACTACCCCAAGTAGTTGTAGATATACTCCCCAAAAGATGTTCTACGTCAGAGTATGCTGACCCATACAAACTAGTAGTTGTTGGCTTCGCATTGGATTGGGCATAACTAGGTGTAGCATTATCTTTATAAGTGAACACGTAAGTTTGAGAGGTGTCCTCACCTGGACTTTGTAAATTCAAGGATTTGACTGGTTCAGGCTCAACTGGCTGTCCCTTGATTGTCTGAAGAATAAAAATACTTGATACAAGTAAATATATCATTTTGAAATGTTTAATTACTTCAGTATCCGTTCATAATTGAGGTAAGAAGGTTCACTTTTATAATTTTCTCATTCTTGATTAGCTTTTTATTTGGTATTATCTAATTGTGGTTGTACCAGTACGCAAGTGTTTTTATCCATCATGTACACAGAGTCGGCCAACAGTGCCCGCTCTCTGACACCCGACCGTTTATAGTTCGTAGTACCCAGTTCGACATCATAATGACGCAATAATTGTAAGCTTACAGGACAGCTATTGGCAGCTAATCCTCAATTCTACATGTCTATTGTTCTCAATAATAAACTGTTAATACCCCATTTCGTAATTATGTACTCTATTTTAAGTCTAGTTACGCCGCGACTGCGAAATCATAGAAAATAGTCGGAAATTTCCAACGAATGCGTCTATGTGCTGACTGTAGTCTCAATTTTTCCTAGGTAGTCAACAAACGAAGGGGAACTGGACCCCGAAATAGTAAGGGGAATGGGCTAAAATTTCCGAGTTGGACACATATACGTAATCCTACATACAGATATCAGCGTTTGATGTGGTATCGGAAAAAATCTGGAAAAATTAAACGCACATCTCTTATAGATCATTTAAATATTTATTTTTAAGATAAAAGTCACAGACAGTTAAAAGGTATTTGCTAGCTAATGTAACCTTTTTATTGATTACAGTCTTGTAAATGACTAATACATCTTAGACTAATAAGCTTTTTTTTCCTACTCTCTATAAAAAATTCAGTCATGTTCCTCTTGTATTTGTTCTTAGAAGATAGTCGTCTACTTGTATGCACGTACACATAATGTTATGACCCCGCAAAAGGCCGATAGTACAGCTAAGTCGCTTAGTTTGCATCAAGCCGGATAATTGAAGGGTACATTTTCCGATTAAGATATACTAATATTTGCGAAATCGTCTCCCCAACTTACAGAGCAGATACGAGCATGAATAGACGAATTCTTGAGATGATAGGTTTGTTACAAGAAGCTCCCTCAGAATGTAGAGGTTTGTCAATAATCGGAGAGCAGTTGCCGACATTAAAATATGAGAACAATAACAAGCGAGATTAAGACGCAATCTCATTTTTCAAAGTGCACCGACAAGTGAGTTCTCTCGTTCTCAAGCCTCATTTTGGACCATAAAATCAGATCAACACTTTTAAGGTAATAGTAGCAATGTATCTTTATACTACGCGTCACTAATACAGTAGCGATTTATTCTTAAATGTTAAATTCTAACTAGTATCTAAATCTCTTTCTGTTTCGTCCGTCATATCTGTAGACTAGTTTATGCGACTCTGGGTGGATGCGAAATTCCAATGGGCGTTTTGAAGTCATTAATTATAACATGCGTTGTTCTCAGATCAAAAGTTCACCAAATTCTTGTAAATACTTAACATGGGAAAAAAAAATAAAGTTAGTTATCCAGTTGAGAGGAACAAAATAGCGTGTTACAGATGCCGAAAACTGAAGAAAAAGTGTTCTACCACCCAACCGTGTTCAAATTGCTCGAAGGTGGGAGCCAAATGTGATTATCCGTTAGAATCTAATCGAAAACCCGCGTCAAACAAGTACGTCTCATCACTACTAAAGAGAATCGAAGTTTTATCAGAGACCTTGGATAAACAAAATTTAATAAGATCCTCAGAACGTACGTTCCTCTTTGAGAAAAGTGATAATTCTGAACAGCAGTATGAAGACACAGATCCTGATTTTCTAGGCCTCAATGATATTTGGAGACTCAAGTTTGAAAATTCCAAATTTTGTTTTTTGGGTCCATCTAGTGGAAGAAACTATGAAATAAACAATACTATAAACCACAATAGTTTAAATGATGTGATTAAGAATGGTTTATCTGAACCTTTGTCAATGGATTTACATCACATGGAACATTTCAAATGGTATTTCGAAAAGATTAATACTCAGATACACATAGTTTCTGAGGATTTGTTTTTCAGTTCCCTTAGTGCTGACAACAATACATTTGGTCCTTTTGCATCTAACGCACTTATAAATGCTATGTTTGCAATTACCATATTAAAAGGTCCCTTCGTTTTAGATTATAAAGTCTTTAAAGATTTAGCAAGAGTACAAGTATTTCATGAAATTAGCGATTTAAGGATAACTTCTGTTCAAACTTTGGCATTATTATCAATGATTGAGATGAATGATGGTAATGAATCTCAGGCGTCTGTATTCATAGCGATGGCTTGTTCTTTGTCAAACCATTTGGGCTTGCATATTAGTCTGAATCATTTAGTGGAAAATAAATCTATGTCCCAAGAAGAACTGAATTTACGGCAATTGCTTTTTTGGAGTTGTTTTTTATTGATAGGATAAGTTGTCCAATTTTAGGGATACATCCGTATTTAAACATAAGCGATATTTCAATTAGCCTACCTGTTCAATTGAATGATGTGAACTCCGGAAGTTTCAGAGAATTATGCTTTTTTTTTGATCTAGAAGATAAAACTTTAGCGAAATTATATCAAGTGAAGCTGAAAATCGACAAGGACGAGACTAGTGTGAAAAAAAAGGAGTTATATTTAAGTGAAACTGAAATGATAGTAGAAAAATGGAAAAGAAGGTTACCTGCAACCTGCAGATTTGAAAGAAGAACTAATATTAACGATTCCACATTTTTATTGACTATGTGTTACGAAACTTACAAAATACTAGTTTATAAGCAATGGATAAAATATCCCATGGATGATCTAGCAGATAATAAGGTTAATGATCCAATTGCGATTTGTTCGGACTCTGCTGAATACATTATCAAAAATACTTCACCTTTGTTAGTAAAATCTCCTTTTTTATACAGATATCTTTACTCATTCTATATAAGTTCGATAATCTGTTTGTTTAATACCTTGACAGGAAATGCTGACGTGAAAGCTAAATATAATAACATGATCATAGTTGTTCTAGAATTCTATGAGAACATTTCATCATCTGCTGAGATTTCTAAGATTTATCATTCGAGACTAACTCATCTAAAAGCTACGTTAGATAACAATAGCAATGGTAAACTTTTTGAAAATCAACCAGAAAATGAAGGGACTGAAATCAACATAGTGGATGATGACTTCAATAAGTATCTCGATTTGCTTTTTGGAAGTGTAGGGATGTAAGTATAAAAACAAGACATAAATTTCTATTCCAGTAATATTTTAGTTACATAACTTCAGTATATATAGTATCGGTACTCTCTGTATCTTTAAAAGCGTGGCCAGCATTTAATAGATTCGTGTAACTAGTTTTTGCGATAGCCAGTCATACAATAAAAAACTCATTTTCAAATTACTTAGAAAATCGTAAAAAAAAATATACTTACTTACTTTTCAGATTATGAATACAGTTAAAAAAATCTAGTATTTTATTTCTATATTTATAGGTCTGAGAAGAATGTAAATCTTGAGAGTAATAGAAGGCTGAAGTAAAAAGTCATGATGTGAGCTTATCTTCTAATAATGTGTGCATATAAGCCAGTTGATAGTACATTTGCGGTCAATTGAAGCCGACATTACTAATTACAAGGTATAAAGCAATTGTTTATCCCGATCTTAATGAACCAACTCATAGCATTCAAAAAGAAAAAAAAATGTCTTCAACACCTGTATTTTCAAATTATGAAACTAAAAATGATAACACGGCCTTTCATTACTCCAGAGCAGTCAGAGTAGGACCATGGATCAAATGTGCAGGTCAAGGTGGATGGGATAAGGAAGGTGTGATTCCAGACGACCACGATAAACAAGTACTTCTTGCTTTTGAAAATGTTGAAAAGGCCATCAAGGCAGCTAAGGGAAATGGCTGGCAAGATGTTATTACAATCAGATCTTACCATTTAGATATCTCTAAAATTTCCATTTTTGTTGATCAGTTCAAAAAATATATGCCAAATCATATGCCCACATGGACTTGTGTTGAAGTTACGAAGTTAGGAGACCCAGACATGCTTATTGAAATTGAAGTTGAAGCATATGTTCCTAATCATTAAAAGCATGGATCCACTTTTATATGTATTAGAATGCATTGAAATAAATCTATGCATACTTGGAGAATATGGTATAAGCATACTTTATATCTGATATTTAGGGATATAACTTGATTATTATGTAACTATATAGCAGACCATAATATCATGCAATTATTACATTTCATCCCTACGTGATTTTCGCAACAAGGGACCCTTAAAATTTTCAATAACATAATGATTTCTTATCGATTCATCTAGAACGCCTGTAGAATGCGCAAAGGATCAAACATATGATTCTCCATGTTTTATCCAGGGTTAATGAACTTTTTAAAGTGTCCAGATGGAAAAAGCTTAAGAATACAGTAGGCTATCAATAATATTTTATTCTGCGAATGAAATTATTATCTGTAAATTTCGTAAGCTTGTATGGTACAGATCTATATAAGCAAGAGCTAAGCAAGTGAATGTTGAGTACAATCCATAAAATACAAATTCTTTCACTACTGAACTCAAATTGCTTACGATTAATTCGAATGACATAAAGAGAGATCACACATGTATTTGTAACAATTTCAATTCTTATGTAATTATTTCCGGCTCCATAATAAAAGCTCAATTCAATGGATATTATGGGCAATGCTAGATCGGAGACATGCAAAAATGTTCCAGAAAGGCTTGTATCCTGGAACATTCTACATCATCGCCAGCTGGAAGAGTGGAAAAGCTCATTATTTTTTTTTCGTCTGCTCCATATTGTTATAATATTCAAGACTTGATACTTTCGTAAACCTGTAAAGTAAACTATACGGTAATTACTGATTATCTACACTGTGGTCTTATAGACTACCACTTGGTGTTAGACGGATTGAATGCACATTTTACATTTTCATATAGTCGTGTAGTCGAGAAAAACTAAACAAAAAACCATATGAGTTAAGTACAGCTTGTACATAGAACCACAACCAATTGACAGCTCATCAACGTATTCTTAGAGAATGAGTACTGTACAACAGCTCATTAATGACTTGAGTAATTTGGCGTCTGAGTCGAAGAGACGGAATAGTGAAATTAGACATGCTTGTGATAAGGCTATTACAGATTTGAAAAGTTATCAACCCCAAGAAAAGATCCATGACATTTCACAGAACGAGATCAGAATGGATATATTAAAGCCATTCTTGATATCTTGTAATACTGGAAATGCAAAGTTTGCCACAATATCGATTCCGATCATTCATAAATTAATTATAGGTGAAATAATACCGGTGGAAAGCTTGAATGAGTTGTTAGATTCGTTGAAAGAAGCTACCAATTTGGCAACAGATATCCAGCTAAGGATCTTACAATGTTTACCAGCGCTCATGCAGAATTACAATCGGTTTATTACGAATTCTCAATTATTGAAGCTATTGGGAATTTGTTCAAGCTTGACAGCTAGCAATAAGTCCACCGTCGTGATTAATACAGCATCAGCCACTTTACAACAATTATTTAGTAATGTGTATGATAAGATTGAAGAAGGAGGTGACCTTAAGAATGAGTTGAAAATTGACAACGAGGAAACCATAAAGATTAACGATTCATCTTTGGAAGGATTCAAAATATTTAATGATTTATGTGGATTAATTGAGAATGAGAAACCGGCATATTTTACCGAATTTATAAATATAAAGTCCTCTTCGGTGCTAGAGATTATAGAGAGCATTTTGTCAAATCATAAAGGTTTATTCGATAAACATCAGGAATTGTGTTTTTTGGTAAGAGTCAAGATAATCCCGGCACTATTGAGAATACTAAATGCGCCTACCCAGAGCTTTCCTATGACCATTCGAACCATGCGGATATTTCATGTGCTATTAGCATCCCAACTCGATAATTTAGAAGTCGAAAGTGAGATTGTTCTATCATTTTTGAACCATATGTTGATCAATGGAAATAACGACCCATCCGAAAAGGCAAACTGGGTAAAAATAGCAGTTTTAGAGATGTTTCGTGGTTTATTCTTGGATTTCAGTGTTATACAATCTATTTATGATAAGTATGACAACAACCCGAAGAAGAAGAATGTAATTCAAGAATTGATGTCTATCTTATGCACTTATTTGCTGCATAATGCGTACATAATGAATGATGTTGTAAAGCCTCCACCCACCTCATTATCTCAAAATCAGTCTTCATCAAACCAACATTCTTATTTATCGAAACAATCTTCGAATATGAAAATATCTATACTTGATCACTTAGATAAACAAGAATCACCAGTTTCAATTCCTCCGAACTATCCAGTATATTTGACTTTTTCTGTTTTATTAACTTATACTGATGGGATTGCAAAATTTGTTAATAATTTGTCTGATGAATCAAACCTGACAGGATTAGAAGCAAATGTTGAATTTGTTACAGCCTTAATCGAAAATACATATCCAGAGGTATCGTCTTTATTTGAAAGGTTTATTTATTCTTATATTGATAATGATGGATTTCATCAATTAATTAGAACCTTACAGAAATTTACACATGCTACTGGGTTGCTAGGACTTGGCAGTTTGAGAGATGGCTTATTGGGTATGCTTTCGAAAGCGATAATTAGAAATACCAGTAAGAATGAAATAAAAGCTAACCAACTGGGTAACAGTGGATTTCAAGAACAAGGAAAACAACTATTGGCGCTTGGAGAGTCTGTTGTTGAATCGTTTAGTTCGTCTCTTCAAAAACATTCATCAGATCATAATCTTTCGTCACAGCCGCAATCACAAATAAAATCCAGAAGCTTCAATTCAAGACAGGTTATTTGTTTACGGGCATTGGCAAATCTAGCTGTTTCTTTGGGCTCAACCTTACAAGACCTGTGGTCTATCATATGGATAACTTTTCAATGGTGCGATTATTATATGAATGGACCGGATGAATATAGCGGATATCTTAATAATAAGAATATGAAATTCACGAATGACATGTTACCTAAGCTAACTGCAAGTGACTTGAATAATATTGAAATTTCCAAAAAGAAATTCTTCGAAAGTATCAATGAATACCAACTAGAATCGTTTCATGAATTGATAGCTGCGCTAACAAATTTGTCTGATGAAGCTTTTAGTAACGCTCAGAAAGAAAAAACGAAAGAACTAGAAGCTGAGAATGAAAATGGCAAAGACAAGAGTCAGGTTATTAGAGATCAAATGATTGTATGTCCTTACAATAAGGTATACTTTCTCAAAATGTTAGGAAATATTTGCCAGATTAACCCCAATAAATTTCTCATTGAGAATGACAAGTCATGGAATCTTATATGTGATTATTTTATTAATTTAGGTGCTGAAAGAGGTAGTAATATAGGATATACGCTCAGGATTTATATTGTTAACACGTTTGATGGTATCATTAAGGATATAACCCATGAAGGGTTTGAGTCTACTGAAAGCTCTATCAATATCAAAACATCCCAAAAATCTTTAGATGGATTGAGAGGATTCCTTGACAAGTTGTTTAAATTAGGTCTTCCGAATGAATTATTGGTTCTCAATTGTGAGACAGAAATGCATTTACTAGTTTTAACCACATTACATGAATTGATTGATAAATTCGATAAGTATTATCAGAATTCTTGGCATACAGTGTTTAGAATTTTGAATACTTCGTTCAGATCTGCAGAATCGGGCAATGAAGACAATAATTTGAAAGAAAAAGTGAGGCTTGTGATAGATTCTTCGTTTAATACATTGAAGCTAATTTTGGATGAATTTATGTCCTCGTTGCCTTTTGATCAAATGCATATCTTGATTGAAACTTTGTATAATTTTTGCCATCAAAAATATGATTTGAATATTTCGTTCAGCTCAGTTAGTTACTTCTGGTTGATTAGTGATTCTTTGAAATCAAAAATATTATCTACTAAAGAGACCCAAGAATTTAATTTTGTAATAAAGACAGATGCAGAATTAATAAAAATTATTGAGAATGAACCGAAAGAAAATCAAACTTTCTATAAATTATTGGATATATATTTGCTCTCGACCTTATCAAAATTGTCTACAGATTCTAGAGCACAAGTCAGAGATGGTGCGATTCAAACTTTCTTCCAGATTATAGATGTTCATGGAAGCTTGTTGCCATCATGGGATTTAATTTATGAAATAGTATTACCGACTTTAC